GGTAACCGACGGGAATAACGTGAGGGTTAGGCCCGAGCAGTTTCTTGCGAGGGGTAACACGTTGCTTTAAGGCTAGCCCTGTACCAATCTGGAGACCCTGCTTTTCAGGAAGGCCGACGGAGGTCAGGACTGCGTGTACTAAGCCTCTGATGCGCATACGCCTATGGACTAGAATCCCGGGTTGTTCTAGAATCCCGGGTTGTTTAACTAATTGGTCGGCTGGAACGACCGCGCACGGGAAATAAGGAGAACATATATATATAGCTGGTAGATGATTGCATTCCTCAGCCTGAGTGGCGAATGAGTGGAAGGGTTGAGATGCCTCGGCGGTGTGAGTGTCGGGGTCTGAAGGGGAGGAGTTGATGTCGCCATGATAGTAAAACTCACGTATTTTTCTTCCTAAGTTTATCCATTCTTGTCTGATTTTGCTACTGCCAACTCCACTTTCCTCACCTCCCCTTCTGTCATGCTCTCCACCTCAGACTCTAGTGCAGCCATCAGCCCCCCCACATCCCCCACACACCACTAACCCCACACCCCCTCCTCCCCCCCCTCTGGCCAATTCCTGGACTGATGGATCTCGGTTTTGGTAATGTTGGAAATAGAAGTAGTATGTGTACTCAATGTATATGGGCCAAATGATGTACAAGAACGAAAATAATTTTTTCACAATATTCGGAATCATATACCAAATGGAATCCCAATTATCATAGCAAGAGATTTTAATGCAGCACCCGATAGATGGTTGGATAGGTGGAAGATTCCTTCACCATGCCCCACTTACATAGAGGAAGATGAAATAATCATTCAACAACTATGTGAAGCTGAAAAACTGTATGATACATATCGACGGTTTTTTCCACAAGAGCGATTATTTACTTGCATCAAAACTCTGATACTCCCCATCAGTCTAGATCAAGAATAGATTTGATACTTATGTCAAAAGATTTGGACCATGCGTTAGTTCGAGTCAATATTTTCCCTCGAAGTCCATGGCCTGGGGCGGACCACAAAATGTGTGTCATATTATTGACATTCAGAAAGAAACCAGACCGAGGAAGAAGCTTTTACAAACTAAATTCTTTCCTTTTTAAAAAGAAAAGATTTCAGAACCTATATCCAAGATGTATGGAAGTATTGGCAATCCACAAAAGACAAACATGAATCCTATATATCTTGGTTTAACTGTGGATTATTTTTTTTGGCCAAGAAATGCAATGAATTCTCAAAATTAATAGCTAAACAGAAACATGAGCAAGAAAAAGAAATCCATGAAAAAATACTTCAGTATGAATAACAAAGAACTTCAGAAATTCTAACCCAATAAGTGAAAATCCAAGAACTTAAGTACCAACTTCTCACCTTAGCCCAAAATCGGTGGCAGGGTTACCTCATTAGAAGTAAATTATCCAAACATCAGTCAGAAGGACACATGGATTCTTCTTTTTTTGACATGGCGAAAGCAAGAAGTAGAAGAACAATTATCGAAGCTTTGATTGATCCTAATTCGTCCCCATACCTTGAGGCCGTTTCAACGACCAGTAGTTTAAAAGTAGCCTATGAATTTTTATAAAATCTATATACATCTACGGTGAACCACACATTACCAAATCAGGAGTTACATAATTTTTTTGAACCCCTAACACAAAAATTAACTCAAGAACAGAAAGATAAATTGAAAGCTTCAATTGTAAATGACGAAATTTGGACAGCTCTTTTGCAAATGGATGAGGACAAAATCCCTGGGGTAGATGGCCTCCCGAAAGAATTTTGGGAGGCAATGTGGACGACCTTTGTAGATGACCTCATTGAATACTATAATCAAGTTCGCTAATCGTTTTATTTTTGTAATGTCTGATATTATTCATCCCTCTCAAACAGGGTTCATTCATGGGAGAAATATACACGATAGTGTGCTGTTAATCAATGAAATGGTTAAGTTATCAAGGCAAAACTACCACAATGCGGCG